GTCACTAAAGTCAATACTATCTGGGTAACCATAGTCTTCCTTAAGCCTTTTTAAGAATTCTTGGTTTCCTTGTTCTCTACTTCTTTTATGTCCTTGCTCTGTTTGTGGTTGTTGTTGTTGTGCAGGGTTTTGAACTGTTGGTTGTTGTGTTGGTTGTTGTGTTGGTTGTTGTGTTGGTTTTGGTGCATGCCTATGTCTGTGTCCATGTGACGATGTAAATGTTTTAGGTAGTCCTGGTGCAGGTGCTTCTCTTGGAGGGTTTGGTGGTATATAAATTCCAACAGCTGGTATATAAGTTCCACCAGCTGGCACATATGTTCCATCTGCAGCGTAATGTCCTACCTGACTTTTCGTTCTTAAGAAAGCATTTACTAGGTCTGTTTTGGTCTGTTGTAACTCTTTTTCTTGACTTTCCACAACAGTTGCTCTAACGGCGTCATAGGCACTTTGAACTGCCTGTCTCGTTGCTGCATCTGTTATTTTCGTCATATTTTGTGCTACTTCTCTTAACTCTTTGTCGAAACCTTCAGACTTCAGTTTCTTTCCAGATGAGAAGTCGTTCACTTGTTTCACCTTACTATAAAGAGCTTCGAAGGCGTTCTTAAAGTCAGCATTTGTTAAAGCTTCATTTGAACTGTCTTCATCCGCTTGTATTTTTGTCCTTATTGACCCTATGAGTTGGGCTGCTTTGGCGTTGGCTTGGGCATCTAACCAGTCATTGTTAGCTTTTATATATTCTGCGCTTTTCATTGCCTTTTGCATGGCTGCGTCGTTATTTTTACTTTCTTGTGCTAAGTTTTCATACTGTACGGTTTGGTTTTGCAACTGTAAAAGTTTTTCTGCCTTTACATTTGCTTCAACTTCTTTTTTATACTCATCGCTATCCATATATGTCTTCAGGGCTTTTTGTTTTATCTCTTCATCTTTCAGTACTTTATATCGAGTAGTATGGTTTTTCAAATTTATGACATCTTGTTCCATTTTTGCTACTTCTGCTGCTTTTTCTGACACTTTTTCGCATATTCCTCTGTACTTAGTTCTTTCAGTTGTTCTTCTTTCTTCTTTTTCTCTACGTTTAACTCATTGAGTTTCTTTGTGTGTCTGTCATATTCTAGTTTCTTTTCGTTTTCACTTATTTGCTTCTGTATGTCTATGTTTGACTTTTTGACATCTGTTATTTGATTTTTGAGTGAACTCAAATTCATTTGACTTTGAGGGTTATATGCTGTTCCGTCTGCAGCTCCACCATAGCCTGCCATTTTCGCTAAAAGTGCCGCTCTTAAACCTCCACTCTGTGCACCAACAACTCGGTTTAAAAGCATAGGATTGCTTGACATTTGTTGCAACATAGTGGGGTCATTCAGCATTTGTTGTTGCAACTGTTGTTGTGGTGTTAGTTTTACTATTGGATGTTTCAATGCTCTCTTCCTCTTACGTATATTCTTACGTAGCTTACGTGGCATTTTAAGTGAAGTTAAAAAGCGGCTTTTGACAGATGTTTATATGACACTTTTTGTTCAGCACAAAACACTACTCGGTCAAAGTGTTGTCAGTTTTGTAAAATAACCGTCCTATCTTGTTAAGACTTCCTGGACTGTTGTCAAAATGTCATGTTGTCTCATTTTTTCAGAGAAGTTCGTTTAACCGAGGGACCGAGGGACCGAGGGACCTGGTGTTATACTAAACATCTTCAGGGGGCTAGAGGGGCGCAGCCCTGGAAGCCCCACTACCTTTTTTTTTTTTTTTTATGTTCCACATATTTTGTAAAGCTTTCAATCTTGGTCAAGAATTTAAAAATTTCAAATAATTTTTGAAATGCTAGTGAAGCCTTATGCAGAAGATAAGGAAAATTATTAAATTATTATTTTTATCTATTACTAAATAACAAAACAGGTGTAAAATATTTACCAAAAAGAAAATTTATGCATGGACGTAATGAAATAATTTTATTTTCTTTCTTTGTGATAAATAATAATAATATTCCAAGATTTCCTTCACATGGACGTAGTCCGATAAATGTCAAATTATTTTTAAATGATTCTCTTCCTTGATCTGAATTATCAATTATTCCATTCATTGTAAAAGTAGAATAGTTATTAATACTACATCGATGAATATAAATCTGTCCATAATATGTATAAAATATATTTCCTTTGTTAATCTGAGGATTGTTTTGGAAAGATGAATCAAAAATATCAAGTCTTTTAGATGTAACAGAAACAATTCCAAAATATTCATCATTTTGAGAATTATTTTTATAATTACATTGGTCAATTCTTCCCCGAGAATTATAAAAATAAGTAATTATTCCGTCAGTTACTTGTAAATTCTCAAAATTACAAAATGAAACATTTACTGTTGAATCAACACCATCATAACAAAAACCTGGAGATTGATATGTAATACAGTTAGAAATGTTTGTTTTTGAAAGTGATACAAAACCATTTAACTGATAAAGCATATGATATGCTGAACTATTTCCTCCATTACAAATTGATCCTTGGAGAATTGTACTGTTGATTTTGCCTTCGAAACAAGTAAATTGGCCCCAGGAGGGAGTTTTACTTTCAAATGAACAGAAGTAATCAATAATAATGTCATTTTTGCTATAACTTTTAATATATAATGTACCTGGACCTTCTGAAAAAACGATTTCGAAAAGTAAAATTGAGTAATCTTTTGTATCTTCGAATTTAACTGCTCAATCTTGAAGGTCGATGAATTTACAGATGTCTGCAAAACATCTGTTCTCATTTGGAGTGACTTGTTGAACTTCACCTGTAAAGACGGAAGAAGGAGGATTAATTCCTTCATAATAAAGATGCCAAATACTATAGGGTGTCCAAAGGTGTGTTTAGCACAAACCTGAATACTGCGAATAGAAATAAACAAGTTACATATATATAAAGTTTATTTAAATATAATCACCATTGGATTCAATCACGCGTTTGCAGCGATCGATCCAGGCTTGAAAGACACGCTTTAAATCATCATGAGAAAATTGCTCAAATTGCTCTCTTACAAAATTTTCAAGATCATCTGGACTCGCGAATTCGCGTCCTTCAGCTCTCTTTTTTAGCGTGCCGAATAAATAAATGTCAGAGGGTGCAATATCAGGTGAATAAATTGGGTTTGGAACAACTTTGGCATTGTTTTCCACCAAGTAATTCATTACCTTATGACTTTTGTGAACTCTTGAATTATCAAAATGAATTGCAAACTTTTGTTTTTGTTGTTTGGATTTCTCAAACTCATCAGAATTGATAATTTGAGTAAGAACATTGTCAATTAGATACTGAGCATTCATCGTATTAGGTTTTTGAAGAATATCAATTGCGATGATGCCATTCACGCCCCAAAAAACCGACAACATCATCATTGGTGTGTCAATTTTTTTCTTCGGGAATGTTTGCGGATTTTCATCCTTCGGGATCCACATGATTTTGGCTTCTGTTGCATATTGAAACCAAGACTCGTCCCCTGTTACTAAAAAGCGAAACTTCTTGGATTGATACGCACCCAATATAGAGAGGAGCTCTTTCGAAGATTGGACTCTAGATTTTTTTTGAACTGAATTAAGGTTGTGCGGAACCCAACGTGTATACGCTAGTTTGTAGTTCAAATAATTGTGCAGATAATAACTGACTGTTGTACGTGGTATCTTTGTCATCTCCTCTATCCTTCTGAGTGATGCTCTTGGGTCTTCATCTAGCGCTTGAAGAATTGCTTTGATTTTTCTTTGATCCGGTGATTTTTTGTCAATTTTTATGATGGGTGTCTTTTTGTTCATGAAGTGATACATCCTAACATGATACGTTACAGTGGAATAGCTAGGAGCATCCATACCGAAGCATTTTACCAATGTCTCGTAGATTTTTTTACAGTCTTTGCATTTTTTTGCAAGAGCGAGGATGTTTTCTTTATGATTCATTAAAAAAATGAAAAAAATCCCGCCAAAATTTCCCGCGAAACCGCCTCTTGTCTCAAAATTCATTTTATATCCCGGCATGGCGCCAAAATACAACATACTCATCATATACATATATTCATATTTTTTATTATATATTTATAATCAGCATATATCTCCTTTAATAGTCTCATATAGAGCGCTGTGCTAAACGCACCTTTGGACACCCTATATTTGAAACATCTTCACTTTGAACATGTTTCCTCAAAACAATTAATTTGAACTTCGCAGTGAGTCAAAAAGACTCAATAATTAAAAAAAATTGGTGTTACACCGGAGAGCTTGACATTTTCCGAAAAATGACATTTTAGCTTTACAAAGCTTACGTTTGTAAAATGGCATTTTTGCCACTTGTTTGTCAATACCCACCAAAAAAGCATCTTTGTGTTTTTTGTGTGAAATATGTTCTTTATAATCTTGGTGTTCTTTGGTAATTTTTGATGATTTGTGATGATATGTGGTGCTTTCTTCATGAAAATCACGATGTTTCTTTCGGAATTCTTCAATTTGTTTTTGGAGTTTGCAAATTAACTTTCTAGATTTGCAAAATTCGTACTTAAGTTTAAATACTTTGTATGTCAAGCATTCGATTGTTTCTTTAGAATTAGAATTAGAATCACAACACATTTATTGTAATAAAATAGTGTTTTCTTTCCTTCTGTTCTTTGACACTTTGTTTGGTTCCCTCAAGTAATAATCTCAGTTCTTTGTTTTCTTGAACAAAATTATAAAGTTCTTTTTGCATACGTTCAACTTGATTTGTTAAGAATAGTGATTTTTCTTGTGCCTTAAAGAGTGATGATGATGTACTGTTGTATAATAGTTGAAGATCGAAAATTTCATATCTTGTTTGCTTTTCAGAACTGATTGCATCTTCTGATTTGACTGAAAAATGTTCAATCTTGGATTTGAGGATGGAAATTTTAGATTCTTTCTTACTCAGTTTATTAAGAAGATTGTCGATCTTACAACGAAGAGATGAATTTTCAGATTCCAATAACTTAAGATTGAGATTGTTTTCTCGTTCATTCTTTTAGAATTTATTCATTAAACGTTGGAGTTCAACGGTTTCTGAATCTTTATTTCCAAATTGTTGATGAAAATAATTAAGATGACGTTGCAGATCTGAAAATTTCTGCCCTAAAGCTTCATGAGTTTCTTCGTAATCATTGCTCGAGATCTTTGTGTATTTAGTTTTCGTTTGTAAATCTGGTTCATGATTGTTAATCTTTTCATACATTTTAGACTGTTCAATGTTGAATGATTTAATGTTTTTGATTGATGAATCACGTTCATCAATAAGTTGCTTGATCCATTGAATGAATTCATTCGTATCTTGTTGTGAATATGGAAATGCATTATGAATCATTCTAAGAGAGTCTAATGAATTTGTTGACTGGTTTCTGAGAACAACATCATTGAATATCATGCATCATGCTAAAAGAGAATAGACTTCTTTAAATGCATTTTTTAAGGAATTGAAATTTTTTTGTCTTGAAAGAATCTTTTGCAATATTATCATGTTCTGACAATGGTTCATCTATGTTATCGATTTGAGATATATAGTATTTGTAGTCGCATAAATGGTTTGGATTAGATACGTTATAGAATCTGTTTTCTTGTAAAAAAACGCGAGTTTGTGATACTTGTTCTTTAAGAAATGCTTTATGAACGGATTTGAATGTTTGTTTGCTGATTAAAAATAGAATTGACAGTTCAAGAGACTTGTCGTTCATTTCTAACGAAGTGCTGCAGAATTTGATTCAAGTTTTTTTTAGTGCCTCGATAAGGTTTAAAACTGCTTTTTGACACGCAATGAAGAAATAATGAATATCCAGATTCAATGAAAATATAAAATATATTCTCAAGTTAAGAAATTTTCATCATGAAGAGGATCCTAATAGTATTTGGCTTCATTATTATGCAGGAATTAGTCCTCCTTATAAAGTTATTCAAGGTGAAAACCAGAACGTTACAGCAACAAATAGTAAATGCTTCACATACATATGCTTATTTACCAGTATACAAGAGAGAGCCATTAAATTCCATGGTATTTCAGATTATTCATTTTTACTTCTCGAAAACGTTTTCAGCAAAGGTCCAGGTACAGTATATATATATGGTTATAGCTGTAAAATTATTATTGATAAATTTTGTTCATTTGAAAGTAGATCATCATCTGGTCAATTTGCTTATTTCGCTCCGAGCGTCAAAAGTACACTCCTTCTAGGATCAATTTCTAATGGAGGAGATAGTTCTGAATACAATGGAATGATTTGGCAATATCAAGGCTATTCATCTCTTTCAAAAACAAACATTACTAACTGTGTTTCAATGCATTCAACAGCTTTTCATTATTGGGGTGGATCTTCAACAAAAAATGTTTTGTTTTGTAATTTTGAGAATTTAGAAGCAGGTAGCCAAATTATTCAGTTTGTCGAATGTGCAGGAAGTATTGAAAGATGTAATTTTTTGAATAATTCCCAAATAAATGGAAGTTATGGATTAATTTATGTTGAATCAAAAAGACTTGATATTTTAGATTCAGTTTTCCAAAACAACCGAAAGAATAATAAAGGAGGATTGTTTTATGCAGGTTATAAAGGCGATATATATATATATATCGATGTAATGTTGATAAATATTCAGCTTATTCATATTATGGAACTGTTTATAATTCAAGCATTTCAACAGAATCATTTTCTAATGACTTAAAACTCACTGGATTGAGATCTTGTGACGGAGATATTATAATATTGTATGTACGAATCAAAGAAAATAAAATATATTCATTATGTTCTTGCCAACATTTCTTTTTTGGAAAATATTTTGTATCTTTTTTGTGCACATGTTAAAAGTAAAAATAAATAATGAAAGATGGGGTGTATATATATATTGAAAGGGATTCAATGAGTATTCTAAAAATAACTACTTTTAAGGATGCTATTTCATATGATTGATGCATCTACTCAGAACGATCATTTAATTGGGAAGAATTCTACTGTTTTCGCAAAGTTCTAATAAAAATGAGAATTTTTCTTTGAATATATATTGTAGATGGACCTTGAGAAAAACATTTTTAGAAAGTAAAATCGAATAGTCAATTGTGTCTGTTAAATGAACTTGCAGATGTATGCAAAACCAAGATGATCAAGTAATGTGATTTGGCTAATTAAGTATGATGCAAGACGATCTGTTATTCAACTTGAAGATTTAGCTCTTAAAAGAGTATGAATAAATGATTTCAAGTGTGAAATTGAGTTTGGATGTTTTTCTAATTGTAAAAAAAATTGTAACTAAATCTGGATTCGATGTATCAATCTCTCTCAATAATAAATCACTGAAATCGGTTTCTTCACTTGATTAACTACTAGATTCTTTGATATTTGGATACAATGACGTGTTTGAAGTCCTCTAAATGTCTTTTTACTCTAAATGAATCTGATGATTATTAGAATATATTTAAATAATAAATAATAAATCAAATTTTGTAAAAAGATATACTTGTTATTTTAATTTTTTGTTGTAAAATATTGTGAAAGTGAAAGCATTAGGAATTTATCTTGCTTATCATTATTGTTCCAAAGATCGTTCAAAATGTTCTGTGTTTTTTCATATGAACAAAATTTAAGAGAATATAAAGAAACATGATATAAAATCAATGGCCATGATGGATTAGATGGCCATTGATTTGGTGATTGAATGTCTTGAAGAATGGAATCACATAAATTCATTAAGGTTGGAAGTGGAGATTCGCCGTTAGATAAATACTTGCAAATAGACAAATTATGTGTTTCTTGGATAGATGGATCTTGATTAGAGCTCAAATCTTGGATGATCTTACTATAATTCTTGTTGTAGAATAATTGTTGATGAGAGCTCATTTTTTGTTAAAAAGTGACATAATTATTTTCTTTCATTTCTATTGGCATGCTGCACGCCTGTAAAAAGAAACCTTATTCAAATAGTACTGGCACTTCAAATCTGTTAAAAAATGACGAAAATTTATTTTCTCTGCTTTGTATGTCTTATATTTGTCCATACTATCTTCCATCTTAACCACATCGAAAAACTATTAAAACATTAAAAAAATCCTTGAAGGTCGATTTATGAGAAAATAAATTTGGTGATTTATACTAAACTGATCCTGGGCAAACAATAAATATAAGAATTTTATTGTAATCATGCCACTATTTCTGAATTTGAATTTTATCTCTTCCAAAAAAACATGAATTATGAGTCATTGTACTTATTATCATATATCCTATTATATATATTAAGATATACTATTGTGCACAAAATTTTTATGTATAAATTTAATAGAATAATTGCAAAGATGATAAAAAATCGTCTTCGACTTTTCTATACTGATTTATGAGTTGTCCGTAATACATCAAACAAAATGTCAATATATCCAATGAAAGTATATCAAAAATTAAAAATTAATCGAAATGAAAGGATTGGGGGTTAATTTAGTAGATCTTATATCGCAAATTTGCATTACTCAGATTGTTGTGCATCCTATTATATAGGACAATAGCTTTAACCATGAAATAAGATAATTTCATTTATAACCATGAGCATTTCAGCATTAAAAATATATTGGAGAATAATTATTTTGAATGTTTACCAATCTATTTCATCAATAAAAATTGGTATTACTTACAATTTAAGTGTCCTATTTCACTCAATTTCAGTCAATTGCAACAATGATTAAACTCAATATATTTTCCTTGAGTAAGGAAAAAAATGAAGAAAGCAAGAATAATTATTAATTTTTATTGTTTATTCAATAACAAAATAGAAAGATGATACTCACCAAAAAGAAAATTTACGCATGGACTTAATGAACAAATTATATTTTCTTTCTTTGGGATAAATAATAATACTAATCCAAGATTTCCTTCACATGGACGTAATCCAAGGAATGTCAAATTATTCTTAAATGATTCTGTTCCTTGATCTGATGTATATACAATTCCAGAACCTGTATCAGCTGAATAAGAATCAATACTACATCGATGTATATAAATCTTTCCATCACCATTGCCAGCTTCAAATAATTTTCCTTTGTTAATCTCAGGATTGTTTTGGAAAGATGAATCAAAAATATCAAGTCTTTTAGATGTAACAGAAACAATTCCAAAATATTCATCATTTTGAGAATTATTTTTATAATTACATCGGTCAATTCTTCCCGGAGAATTATAAAAATAAGTAATTATTCCGTCAGTTACTTGTAAATTCTCAAAATTACAAAATGAAACATTTACTGTTGATTCAACATAATCATATTCAAAACCTGGTTTTTGACTTGAAATACAGTTAGAAATGTTTGTTTTTGAAAGTGATCCAAAACCTTTATTCTGGTAAAGCATACAATTTACTGAACTACTTCCTCCATTACAAATTGATCCTTGGAGGATTGTACTGTTGACTTTGCCTTGGAAATGAATAAATTGGCCATATAAAGGATTTTGACTTTCAAATGAACAGAATTTATCAATAATAATGTCATTTTTGCTATAACTTTCAATATATAATGTACCTGGACCTTCTGAAAAAACGTTATCGAAAAGTAAAATCGAGTAATCTTTTGTATTTTTGAATTTAACTGCTCTATCTTGAAGGTTATTGAATTTACAGATGTATGCAAAACAGCTGTTCTCATTTGGAGTGACTTGTTGAACATCACCTGTAAAGACGGAAGAAGGAGGATTAATTCCTTCATAATAAAGATGTCAAATACTATTTGTAACTTCTTCACAATGAAAATATTTCCTCAAAACAATTAATTTGAACTTCGCAGTGAGTCAAAAAGACTCAATAATTAAATATAAAAAGAAAGGGGGTAACACCAAATTTCGGATTAAATTTTTTGCAAAACATTAGAGTTTATTTGTGGCGAGATTGCAAGCTCACATTTTGAAATAAGTTTTGGAAATTTTTCATTGAAAATAATACGTTTATAACAAATGAAAATATTATGGAGTGCGGTACATTTTAGGAAAAATGACATTTTAACTTTACAAAGTTTACATTTGTAAAATGGCATTTTTGCCACTTGTTTGCCAATACCCCAAAAAAAGTTTGGCGCCAAATTGCAAAAGTGTCATAATCTCATGGTGGACCATAGCTGGTGTCGCCGCCGACTATCTACTTGCTGGGATGCTACGCAGCCTTTGATCTGGCCAATCATAGTGCTGCTCCATCCACATCAGCAAGTGATTTCGGCTGGAGATCTCCAATGGGTCTTCCATGAGGTTTCTGCAAGCCAGAAGCACAATATCTATGCAGCCTAGCTGCTAAGATAGCGTAGCTAGGCTGCGTAATTGTTGTGCTTCTGGCGATATTAGTTATATGTTATTGCTCTCATGGACTACAGTACTACTCCCTGAACCCTTGAGGGTCAGGGATGTAAGTTTACTCGAAATGGGCAATGTTCATTACGAAATCTCTCATCGAATGAGAGACTTCGTAATGAGCATTGTCTTAAAGTACTCTTACTACTCTTTCCTAGTTCCCAAAAGGCCTAGGATTCTGTAATTAATCGAATAGGACAGAGTTTTTCTGAAGTCTCTCATTTGATGAGAGGCTTCGGAAGAACTCTGTCCTAATGTAGTGTACTTATAGTCTCTGACAATTTATGTGTCAGAGAATGTACTTTTACTCGAATAGAGCAGAGTTTTTCCGAAGTCTCTCATTTGATGAGAGGCCTCGGAAGAACTCTGCCGTAGTGTAATGTAGTTGTGGTACTTGTCCCACAAAAAGCGAGAGAATATGTCTGTAATTCGTTTATGCTGAAGTTATCTGGATGTCTCTCAAATGAGAGAGGAAATCCAGATAACTTCAGCATAAGTTAATGCGGATGCGGTTCTCTAGCTCTTTGTCGGCCAGAGAACGAATAAAAAGTTTTTGTTGTGAGTAGGCTCGATGCATGCAAAATTTCTTATATTTTTACTTCTTATGAGAAAATAGTTTTTCATTTCTTATAAAGTCTTTTCAGGGGGGTTATACCGTGATATTAGCCTTGTACCGAAAAAAGTGACGGGCAATGCCGTAAAATAATATTTTATTAAAAAATTTTTGGTGGAGAATTGGAAAATTTTTGGTGGAAAATTGGAAAATTTTCCTAATCATTTGGACTATAACCTGGCATATTAGGGAGTTTTGTCAACAACTCAGTGCTGGGATCAAGATAGTTTGTAATCCAAAAGTAGAAACGTTCCTTGGTGTCTTGTTCTGGCTTCCTGCAAAATCTGTGATTTGCAGGATTCTTCTTAATATTGTCAGAAATTGCGCAAATCATGTCCATCGTCGTCAATTCTTCACCATTGATGTTAAAACGATTTCGATTACGGTAATTTCTTTTCTCTTGCAATTCTTTTTCTGCAGGAGTCAATTCACGAACATACTTATTATGTTTGAGAGCTTCTACAGAACAAGGGCAAAGACCGCAGGCGGCAGCATTTTGAACCGTTCTTAATGATACTGATTCTTGCCATGCGCTAATAAATGAGTAGATAATGGCGTAGCGCATCATTGCAGCATTGCTGTTGAACTCTTGCTTCGGTGCCTTAATGTAATCTCTCAGATAATCCGTGAATTTGGACTTTAATCTTTTGGCAATGCCAACATCAAATACTTGTAAAATGTGTGTTGTATGTGCGGGAAGAACAATTAATTTGATGTTGGCACTTGCCAAAAGGAACAATGCCAGAGGATTCTCGCGGCTGGAGTGTCCATCACACACAATGAGAGCAGGCTTGTCACGTATATCTTCTGGCATTCTCTGGCGTTCAAAGTTAAGCCACTCGATGAAGAAAATGCAATACAATAAGAATACACTTCTGTTCACCCAGCCTTTTGGCGTAGAAGTAAACCAACAATGTCTTTCGCGCTGGAATACTTTCAGTTCTCTAGGTAGTTCTGCAATACATGGGAGAACAAAGAGAGGTGGGACAGATTTGCCTGTCATTGAGCATCCGCATAAAGCTGTAATGTGCGGAAAGTTTGGAATTCCTTTGGCGATCATATGCTCTATCTCCTCAGGTAATGCAACTTTCTTCTTCTTAAATTTGTTTATGAATGTTTCATCGATACTAAAAATCAACTCCTCTGGAGTACTTTCGATTGTTTCACGATGTTTATCGTAGAATTCTTCGATAATTCTTGGTTCACACGCCATGTATCTTGATTCTTCAATCTCTTGGCATGCCTTAAGCTTGCAATGCAATTGCTGTAAAATATGGTTAACATAAGGTCTCGATACATCATCACCACCAAGAGTATTGATAACTTCTTCTGCAAGAGTAGGACAATTAATCTCAAGAAGGAATCTGTAACCATAATCTCTTCTGAGCTCTTTCAACTTGAACGCCTCGTCAATAATGTCAGCTGCTTCTAGAGCTTCACCTTTGTAAGCAGAATCTTCGATAATTTCTTTTAAAGTGAGCTGATCACGCTCGCATAGGTATGGATCTGCACCGCCATGATTCCCTTTTTCCCAGTATAGACCTAATGCAGCTCTTTTAAGTGCAGTAGCAATGAGATTGGATGTTAAAGTTCCGAGATCTGGGTATTCTTCCTCCCATGCAAGCTTAGTTTGACTATATGTCATACCTTCGGCGCGACAATTGATGATAAACTTTTGTTGTCTACCAAGAAATTCGACTGTGAGAAATTCCATTTTTAATTTTAAACGAGCACTTGAGCCACGTTTTATCTGACTTCACCAGCCAAAAAGCCCCTGTACTAAGTGTCATGTTTTTGTTTATTTTAAAGTTTCTGCCATGTAATGGTTTACATTGCAAATTTTTGAATACTTTACATCACCATAAAATGGCAGTACAAGGCTAGTTTATCGGTACAAGGCTCTTGAAATGACTTTATTTCGAATTTTTCTCATTTTTCAATCTTGATCAAAATTCAAAAATAAACAGATTCTCCAATAGAATACATAAAATAACTCGTATCTATCATATTAAAATTTTCGAAAAATCTCCAAATAGGGATGCGACGGTTTTACGCCATGACCGTTTAAAAATAGAATAATACGCCATTTTTGGGGCCGAATGGCGGGTACGAAGTACCCGCCATTCGGCCGAATAACAAAACAATACAAAATTATCGCCGTCCTTTTTTTTCTTTCTTTCTCTTTTTTCTCTCTCTCTCTTTCTTTTCTCTTTCTCTTTTTACTCCTCTTTCTCTTTTCATCATTAACGTAGAAAGATATATTAATATTATTTTAAAATTAAAAAAAAATAAAGAAAGTATAATAAGTAATTATTTATTATCGAATATATATGTAAAGTGATAATCTGAGGATAATCTGAGGAGGAGTTTGAGGATTAGACCTAGGAGTAGTTTGAGGATAAACTGAGGAGGAGTCTGAGGATTAGACTGAGGAGTAGTTTGATGATAATCTGAGGAGGAGTCTGAGGATTAGACTGAGGAGTAGTTTGAGGATAATCTGAGGAGGAGTCTGAGGATTAGACCGAGGAGTAGTTTGAGGAGCTTGAGGATAATCTGAGGAGTTTGAGGATAATCGGAGGAGGAGTCTGAGGATTAGACTGGGGAGTTTGAGGAGTAGTCTGAGGATAATCTGAGGAGGAGTCTGAGGATTAGACCGAGGAGTAGTTTGAGCGAGGAGTAGTTTGAGGAGTAGTCTGAGGAGTTTGAGGATAATCTGAGGAGGAGTCTGAGGATTAGACTGAGGATTAGACTGAGGAGTTTGAGGAGTAGTTTGAGGATAATCTGAGGAGGAGTCTGAGGATTAGACCGAGGAGTAGTTTGAGGATAATCTGAGGAGGAGTCTGAGGATTAGACCGAGGAGTAGTTTGAGGAGTAGTCTGAGGAGTTTGAGGATAATCTGAGGAGGAGTCTGAGGATTAGACTGAGGAGTTTGAGGAGTAGTCTGAGGATAAACTGAGGAGGAGTCTGAGGATTAGACTGAGGAGTAGTTTGATGATAATCTGAGGAGGAGTCTGAGGATTAGACTGAGGAGTAGTTTGAGGATAATCTGAGGAGGAGTCTGAGGATTAGACCGAGGAGTAGTTTGAGAGAGTAGTCTGAGGAGTTTGAGGATAATCTGAGGAGGAGTCTGAGGATTAGACTGAGGAGTTTGAGGAGTAGTCTGAGGATAAACTGAGGAGGAGTCTGAGGATTAGACTGAGGAGTAGTTTGAGGATAATCTGAGGAGGAGTCTGAGGAGTTTGAGGAGTAGTCTGAGGATAATCTGAGGAGGAGTCTGAGGATTAGACCGAGGAGTAGTTTGAGGAGTAGTCTGAGGAGTTTGAGGATAATCTGAGGAGGAGTCTGAGGATTAGACTGAGGAGTTTGAGGAGTAGTCTGAGGATAATCTGAGGAGGAGTCTGAG